CCATGGACGGGTGCCAGACCACAGGGAGATTTCAGCCAGTCCAGTATACAATATGGTTGAAAACACAAATGTGTGACTTTAGATATAGCTACTAGAGTATGTTATCTTACAATGTTATTGTAATTTAAAAGTTAATACAGTATGAAGTTTTCCAAGAAAGTTTTGGGTTGGAACTAGCTGGTCCTCAGTTGGAGAAAGGTTAGGAACCAGTCTTGGCTCACCAGCTTACCTTTCTAAGCAAATATCTAACAAAGTTGGTGGTCATTTTATGTCAAAAAAATTCAAAATAATAACTTCATAAGAATTTATATTTACTAGACTTAAAATCTATTTCTAAAGTCCTTTTTTTCTTGCTTGTTTATAATAAAATATATGAAAGCTAGATTACACCTTGACATCCATCCAAGTTTGGGCCTATACTCAGACTATTTTGGGCTGTATACTTCATGCAATATTTGGCAGATACATCTTGTAAATTACTGCTAAAAGATATATTTATGTACATTTGTTCACTAGAAAGATTTTAATATTCCATAATCAAGAAGCAGTAGTGATTAGTGAACTACATCAACTTTCTAAATATCAGATCATTGATATCATTAAATGCTGTTTCATGAACAGAGCTCAAAATATTATTAAAATATATTAATTCATTTTTACCTTACAAGCACTCGTTGTTTATTAGAAATATTGGTGGGAGTGTTTAATTTTAAAATATATTTATATGTACATATCTTGTACATGTGATAGAATTGGCCACTTGCCAAAAAGACACTGTTAGCATGTTTTTGACATGAAATTGATCTGTACTTAGTTGATACCTTATCATTTTATGCATGTACTTAGTAAGTGAATATATGTACCATTTTGATATTGAAGCATTTTTTATCATCTTTACATCAGCCATTGCTTGAATCATACCCATCAAGACAAAGATGAAAGATGTGTGTGTGTCTGTATGTATAGTGCAGGAGTTTTTTTTTCTCCACATTGTAGGGAGGGGAGCTTCCCCTAGATCTTTTGCAAAATTTGAGTGTTTTATTTCTACATGGTAACTGTTGATGTAAAAATGACTTAAAGCTGTACCATTTTAAACATACATGTAAAAAAAAACAATAATAAATCTGGGAATACAACCAGACATATTTATAGAAATACTGTACCTTACCACTTGGATACCCCGTGCAACATCAGTGACCAAATATAATTCTGCAAGGATACCCCTGTAGTATCTGGGAATACAGCCAGACATATTTATAGAAATACTGTACTTTACCACTTGAATACCCTGTGCAACATCAGTGACCAAATATAATTGTGCAAGGATACCCCTGTAGTATCTGGGAATACAACCAGACATATTTATAGAAATACTGTACCTTACCACTTGGATACCCTGTGCAACATCAGTGACCAAATATAATTGTGCAAGGATACTCCTGTAGTATCTGGGAATACAACCAGACATATTTATAGAAATACTGTACTTTACCACTTGGATACCCCGTGCAACATCAGTGACCAAATATAATTGTGCAAGGATACCCCTGTAGTATATGTATGTATGTATGAATAGTAGCTATTTTAGTGCACAAAAAACATACATAACAAATTGACATACACCTTAAAAACAGGTGTATTCAGCACAACTGAATCTAATAATTTTGAATTGTTTCATTATATTCTATATTATATTTATACAGTGTTGTGGTTTTGTGTGTTTTGCTGTATAAATAGCTTCAATGCTTAAAATGTTTATGTTTCCATTTAGGCTAATTCTACTTTTAAGATCTTCCATACATTTATATGGTTTTTTTGGATATTTGAAATACTTTGAGAACTTGCTGTACGTTTGAAATATTTAGCGATTTAAAAAAATATATTTTTTTTTACAAGTAGCCTAATTTCTTGTGTAACATATTCCATGTTGTTTTTCACTGAAAAATAAAAACTGTTCAATGTAAGTTATAAATTTTTATAATAAAGCTTTACCTGTGGTTTACCATTAGATGTGGTATTTTCTTTTGGAGAAAAAAAAAACTATTCGATGGAAGTTATAAATTTTTGTAGTAAAACTTTACCTGTGGTTTACCATTAGATGTGGTCTTTTCTCTTGGAGAAAAATAAAAACTACTCAATGGAAGTTATAAATTTTTGTAGTAAAACTTTACCTGTGGTTTACCATTATATGTGGTCTTTTCTCTTGGAGAAAAATAAAAACTATTCAATGGAAGTTATAAATTTTTGTAGTAAAGCTTTACCTGTGGTTTACCATTTGATGTCGTTTTTTCTTTTGTAAACTGATTTGATGGTAGTGAGCACAATTAGTGCATGTTCCATTCTAATTGGTTCAAAAGTGATAAAGTCTGTGCCAATCTTACAAGTAATAAGTGGTTTAACAAAATAGCTATCAATACCACAAATGATAACATACCTGCTATACACATAGCTATTTAGAAATTGCATATATGTAAGCACTTTTGACCCTCTTTGCCTATCTTCACACACTGTTATCTCGTGGAACTTGTACCTTATGTCATTTGATGGCATGACGTGTCACACCTCCATAAGCCACTGACACTGTAGCTGGTTCAGTGTTAAGTTGATGTTGATTGATGGTTTGTAACCATAAGCTCTTTGTTACACATATTACATGTACTTATACTTTTTAGTTCTCTCCCTGTTCTTTTCATCACCTTCATATTTTTGTTTTTAGGGGCAAGCTTCAAGAGGTTTGTTTCACTTGATTTTTAGTGGGATTAAATTAGCCTTCCCAGGACCTTATTTTCTCCAGCTTTTTATCATAACTACTGTCTAAAATGGCTTTTTTGTGCATAGCACGTACCATTTTATTATGAAATTTAGCAAATAGTTTTTAAGCAATGGTTCAAGTAAAGTACATGACAAAAACTTTAATAAAATTACTCTGATCTTCATAATTTAGAAGGTACAAAAAGTATATTTAATTACCCATACTCGTTATTAGGTGGACTTTTAGTTTTACTCTAAGTAGGTGGCCTGATCTGTTGAAAATTAACACGAATTAAAACTGTGTGTGTGTGTGTGTTTATACATATGGTACAAAAAGGTAAAAAAATATTTTTATCATTATAAACATACTAGTGAAATGACAAAATTCCTGATAAAATTTTTATTTTTATCACAAAACTAAAGGCTAGAAAACATTTCTTATCTCTTATATTACAATTTATGTTAAAAATCTGGACAAATAAACATTAGACTTATTCAAATTATGTCTGTTTGTCTATTTAGGAAGATTCTTTATTGATATGCTTGGTTTAACTCTCATTATGATGTAAATTGCTATATAACAGATCATTATGCCATGAATAGATATTTATGGTAGCCATAAAAAAAAATTTGATAAATAGAAGTATAGCTCTATTTTTCCAGAATGTCGTGTATATTTTTTACTTTTAGATATAACATGCATGTGCAGATTTTGCAGTTAGTAACAAAAAATATATCTTTATGCTTTATATACAAATTAATTGATGAAGTGGCTTCCAAGTGTTATGTAACAGCTTTCTCAAAAGTGAGTTTTATAAACTGATGACTTGATAAGCAGCTAAGACATGGGGCAGCAGGTGATTTAACAATTATTGGTTGGCAGAAACAGTTCAGTTGTTCTACGTATTGGTAGGCTTTTGTTATGTTCAACATAAAAGGTGTTTGTATGTGTCTATACATATACACACACACACACACACACACACATACATACATACATACATACATACATACATACATACATTCTAAGACCTTTCTATCATTAACTTAATCAAACTGTTTTGACATTTGTTAATTTGATCTAAAACAAGACAGTGTGGGAAACAACAAGCTAGTGATAACATATATTCAAGTAATCACAATGAATCATTTTGATTTTACAAATTAAAAGTGAAGACCGTTTAAACTTTTTGTCACTTATTATTCCAGATCATAGACTTTGGTATAAGTTAAAGGATGTTTGAAGTATAAGTATGCTATTTTCTATTTTTAGCATTAAGATCTTTAGGTTGGTTACCAACTGTTCTTTACATGTTGAATATATGCTGACAGCAGTTTCTCCGTTTAATACTTTTTATTTTGACTTAAAAAAATTTCTGATATGGGCATTTTGGTGTGATTTATGTGCAAACACCAGAGACTTCTCTTGTTTCTTTAAGCTTGAAAAGTCATGATTCTAGTTGTTTTTTCTGGGAGAGGGGATTAAGATAAGTCAAGTTGAAGTTTTATGGCTGTTTTTACTTGATCAGCTTAAGTGAGAATACAGTGCTTTGCAAGCTAAGTTGCCAAGACAGAAATCCTTTCTTCTTGTGACATGTTTTCAATAAATTAAGCAGGAGCTAAATAAAAGTTTGAGTAACAATTGTACTCTGGAAAGAGATCCTCTCTCTCTCTCCATTTGTCTGGGTTTAACTATGATAAATTAATTTCATTGTATCATGTAATATTTACACCAGATCAGTTTTTTACTTTAATTTTGTATACTGGTTTTCTTTTTATATAAAGGTGGGGGGGGGGGAGCTGTAGACTTTTTATTTAACAGTTGTCTGTCTCTGCTACTACATATATTGTATAATCTTTTTCTAAGTAGTAAAAGTTAAAAATAACCTTTTTTTTAAATGTCACAAGAACTCCAAATGAGCAAAAGAGAGAAAATTTAAAGATAGAGCCAGTGTGGCTCTACTGAAACAAAAGAAAAATTTAAGAAATAGCTATTTTAGATTCCATGGTAGCAAAACTGGTATTTTGATGAAAATTTTTCCCTCTTAGACAAAATATAGTAGTATTATAATATGGTAGAGTGCTGTCATATACTTAGTTATTTTGCCCTATAAAATAGAAAGATACATCATTTTAGAATTTTAATGTATATATGTGTCATTAACTGGTGGCCTTTTTTTTATAGTGTTTAGACACATATATTAATATTATGCTTTAACCAATTTAACAAAGATATGATTTTTTTTTAGCTTTTCCTGTTGTTAAAAAGCCCCGACATAAAGGGTTTTTTGACACTTTATTGTGCTGTTTTAGCCGTAACCCAAGGCAAACAAATCCATCAACGCATTCTGAGGAAAATGGCCAATGTTCACCTAAGGTAATTTGGTTATTATTTTAGCTGGAAATACTAAAAGAAGTAGAAATGTTTTAAACTTAAAAATTAAATTTAAAGTCTAAGTATCATTATTCTAAGTGATTACTCCAGATCATGATCATTCAGTTTTATGTTATGTTTTAAACAAAACCCTGAATAATGTGATCTCTGTGTCAAGAAATCTTTATTGATTGTATGATTTTCATGGTGGCCAATTTATACATATTTAAAAAAAAAGGCTTCTGCATTCTTCTCTGTGGTATATCATTCAGTTGTGACATTGGTATTAATCTTAGAATATGTAAAGGAGTTTCTGCTTTTCTAATGCAAGTTATTAAAGTTTCTAACAACAATTTGTTGAAATGTATTTAATTCATGATTGTGTTACAAAATGGGAGCATGTTGTTTCTAATGATGATGAGTCTTTTAATACTTATTTTTTTATGATTTCTCATTGTTATAAACTTGAGTGGCTCAGTTTTCCATTATTAATTGACTGTAAAGATAGCATCAGAAGGATTTGTCTCATGGAGTCTAATTGCTATTTATGTTCGTGCTCTTGTGCTACCTGCTCTTTTGAGCTTCTCATTATTCATGTTAATAATTTGTAATACTATATTGCAAGTTGTGTGAAATAACAGCAATAGATCACCTATTAATAGTTACAAGTGTTTTTTTTTTTTTTACTGAAATAAACACTACTTCCAATACAATACTACTTTTCGCTAGACTTTACACACCACTGATCATTGTAATTGTACTCCACTGTCATATGTAACGGTGCAACCTCCAAGATGTATAAATGGCTCAGTAGCAATGGCAGATATTTAAGTAAATATTTCTTACAGGTACTAACAAAAAATTGTATTGCACTAGTATTGTTCCATGTACTACTTTATTCATTGTGTTAAATATGGTATTAATGGTATGAAACATATTTGTGTAGTTACCGGTCCAAGGCAAGTACTTGCTGCCTCCTATGAAGCCTCAGGACATGCATAAAATATGCATGGTTATTGACCTGGATGAAACTCTTGTCCACAGCTCTTTTAAGGTAACTTCTTTTTTTATTAAACCAGATGAACTTAAAGTATATTAAACCTCTGCAGTTGGTATTCTTGTAGTTTATAAAGTTATTTTCTAGAATGTTTAAACCAGATATATGTTGTCATGATTTGGGATCTTCTCTTTTTGCTTTGTTTGCTTTTAATATTTTTTTCTTGTGAGCCTTTTGTGACTTATAAGTTATTCATGGGAGAAAAAAAAAGACACTTATGACACTTAAAGCTGTGACACTTTGGCATAATGAACAAGCAAGCAAACAACAGTGATGCAATAGAAAACACTTCTGAATGATCTTTCCTCATTACTCATTGGTAGCAGACATGTCAGTGCAGTTGTGTTAAGGAGACCAAGCAAGAAACTGTCTCGTCTGCTTAGTTCTTATGACTCATAAAGCATGTTATGTAGCAAGTTTTTGTTGACTTGGTTCTTAACTTGAAACAACTAGTTTAGCTAGGTGATCAACCAACGTTTGTATCTTTATGTTACAATTATTGTTTTTATTAAGCATTGTTAAGTTGAAAATGTCTTTGTCCTTACACAGATTTATTGTACTCTGACTGGTAGTTTCATCATGCACTGTTTTATTATATGATTTGATATTTTATTGAAAGTATAAGGAAGAGTTAAATTGACCATGTTTGTTCTCAATACATGGTTTTATTACACACTGACTGTTAATTTCATCGTGCATTGTTTTATTTTATGTTCTGATATTTTACTGAAACTATGAGCAAGAGGTAAAAATTTAATGTTTGTTGTCTGTATGTAAGTTGGTGGTTTCTAATAACTCAGTAAGTGAGTATTATTAAATCCAGTTTGATATGAAATTTCACAGGCTTCAAGTTTATAGGCTTGTCAGTTTTAGACTGTTGCCAAGTTTAGTCATACACATATATATGATCCACAATCTACTTAGTTTTCTCCACATCACTGGTCTTCTTCTCCATAATGTCCTTAATCCCAACTAATTTTGGGTCAGCCAGTAGTTTTGTAAGCCAAGAATATTTACACCTAGGTGTCCGGTCTAGACAGCAACCATGAAGGATGAGCATGTTTGGTGACGGGGCTTCAAACTTGTGACCCTCAAGTTGCAAGTCGAGCACCAAACTCCTCTCCACATCACTGCTACTTCAGTATAATTCTGTTATAATAAAAAAATTACCTGTAGAAATTGATTTAGATCAAGAAACTGTGACATGATTTGTTATATTCTACTGTACAATGGGTTAAGATCTAGACTTGGTAACAGAAGGTATGCCTTCCTGTAGTCTTGGAAGTAAAACCTTGTTATGAAGGGATTAGCTAAAGAAAAGCCAATTGAGATCCACTAGTAATTCTAGGTTTAAGTCCCATTTTTTGTTTAGCCACTTGAAAGAAAATATAACTATTATATATGTATTTGCTAATTTAATTTTTAAATGTTTCTGTGTTGGCCATCATTCAGGGTGACTCCTTTCAGTGATCCTACATTGTTGTCTGAGAACACTGTATTATTAAACCTAACCCTGTATTACTCATTAGGTATACTATCCTTGACAAATTCTTTTGCCTTCTGCAAAGTGAAACAGCTATAATCACCCTATAACCCGAGCAATTTTGAAAGGTGGACCTTTTTTCTTCAGGAGTGATTCCAAGTTTACCCCTGAAGAAGAAAAGTCCACCCTTTGAAAGTGCTCAGGTTATAGGGTTTTTATTGTTTTATATTAAGACTTCTTGAACTTCTGTGTTTTTCTGACATCATGAACAGCTATAATCACAATATGCTCTGAAGGATTTAGTCATGACCCTGGAGATTTAAATGGAGAACTGACAAGAATATTTTCATTTCAACCATTCACCACTTTAGATTTCAGTAAATCACCAGAGTTTCGATCCTGAAATGTGTATAGTTAATTTTAATTTACTGTATATTATCAGCAACACAACGTCTTGTAACTCCCTTTCCATACACTTCAGTTCTCCATGCTAGTTCATGTGCTTGCAAATAGGGAAGAAACATTTATTAAATTAATTTCAAAGAAAACTTTAATTGTTCATTCCCTTTCACCAACTAAAGACATTATACATTCACAGAGACAGGTGTGTTGTTTGCTCCTGTAGAGAAACCATGAGGCAGAAGTATATGATGGTATATCCACCAGGGAGTGGATTAAAACAAGCTTCAGTTAAATTACACACACACACTCTTTATGATCCTCAAGATTTCCAGAAACTTTGAAGTCTGTGTGCTCGTAATATTCTGCTACCCCGGATGTGTTGTTACTGTCTCCTTCTCTTTTATTAAAAACTGTAAACATTTTATTTCATGCTTCACAATTGTTTTTACCTGTTTTATATAACAAAATACACTATTACATTTTCACAAATAAAGTAACTTGCATTTTTGTAACTTATTTTAATTGAAATTAATCATAATTATGTTGGTTGCTTAATTTTAGTGTTGTTTTCATTTAATAGTAAGAAACCTTTCAGAAAAATGGTGCAACCTGTAGGAAGCCAAGTAGTGGATATTTGATTTTGTCTAAATCAGTTTTACACAAAAAGTACAGCATAACTGAAAATATTTTGGATTAAACTTTACATTATATGAATAATATTTAGATAAGTAGACCAAAAGTATGTCAAAAAACTCATAGCTATTACTTCAACATTCCAGCTTAAACAAAACAAAAAAAATTCATTCAATAACTCTTCACATGTGTTAAACATCCCAGTTTATTCTATAGTTAGTTTGTATTTCATAAAGTAACACTGTTTCTTACACTAGTAACATATGTATATAACTTTAGAATATTTTTGTGTGTGTGTGTATATGCACATATAATTATGTATCTAACTTATTTATATTCTATGTTATAGGTATTTTAATGTAATACAAGGTGTCCTTAACAAAATTCATTACTGTACGTTTCATAATATTTTTAGAGAAAAAAATACTTTGCACGAAAATCTACTTATCAACCTTTTCTTTTAAAAATGTTTAGGGTTTAGCATCATTACTGTTATGAAATCACTTTAAAAATATATCTAAAGACTTTTGTGGAGAATCATGTAGGTCTTTCAGAATGATTACATTTTGCACTGAAACACTTGGGTAGTATATGAAGTCAAAATTACATAATAGTCACCTGTCAAAAACCTTTTGGAATCAATAAAGAAATTTTTAGAACTTATGTATGTTTTTAATTATCAGGAGCACAAGTGAGAACCCAGAACTAACATATTATTGTTTCTCAATAGGCTGTGTCAGTTCAGGTTAGCTTCACTTACCATAAAAGTTTGTCATATGCAATAGACACACAATAATTTATCATTCGTTTTAAATACACTGCTTATTTCATTTCTACTCTTATAGGAATGTATAGCCCATTGTAAGATTTTATGAACTTAGGAAGTTGGTATTTCTTTCTGTACATCCATTTTTGTTTTTAAAGCCAGGAATACAGTACATTATTTTTATTTCTGAACTTTGATCTGTACTTAGTTATTCTCTGCTTTGCTTACAGAAGAATTTAAAATGATGAAAGGAAAATGGAGGAGATGTTTTGTTGCCAAAACAACTGCTGCTGGCTAACTAATGTGACTGTGACCTGTTGGTTTATCTATTTGGAAGAATATCTTTATAATTTATTCTTTCTATGCTATTGGGCATATTAAACTTTTACAGTAAAGATATATGTAATTGGTCAAATTGACTGCATCTCATCACCAAGTTGTGGTGTCCAAAATGATAATTTTATCAACTGTGAGTGATTTATGATTTCAAAGTACTTTTTTATATGTAGTAACAAAATGAATGTGTTACTGATGAAGTAAATGACAATAAATGGATATTCACATACCCTGTATTCATGTTTTTCTTCTAATTAACAAATGTTCAAGGTTTGATTGTTAAGATTCACAGTTCTCTTCAGAATGTTGTATGCTTATTGAAACCCTATACCTGTTTTAAGTTAAAGTATTGGTACTTATATGAGAAGCTAAAAAGATTTTAAAGCTCCAGATCAACCTATGTAAGCCTACTGAATTCAGCCTTAATATTTAAAATGCACGAGTTAGAGATCATTTGTAACTTGTATAATAATTTGTCTTATTTTTCCAGCCCATCAGTAATGCAGACTTTGTAGTTCCTGTTGAAATTGATGGCACCGTTCATCAAGTAAGCTATTAGTTGTTTTCAGTCTTTCCACTTTGAGATCAATTTTTATATTTTTTATGGGATATTTATGCATTAAAATCATAAAAACAACAACAGCAAAAAAAATGTTTAACAACACCTATACAACTCTTTTGGAATGCTCGGAGAACCTGAAACACCTAGAAAAATATTGTTTTAATATTTGAAACTGAGTGTTTATGGAGTAGTAAGGTATACTTAATATTAAATCTTGGTTATTCTATTAAAGTCCAGAAATTAAACATGTCAAACTTCATGAACACTATAAATTTTTTACAATGGAGCTTTCTCTAGATTCTTAATTTTTCTCTATTTTATGGATGATTGTTATATAAAATTAATTTGAGGCACCAAAATTACTAAATCTCTGTAAAGAAATAACTTCAAGTATGATGCACAATTCAATGGTAATAGATTGTTGATTTTTGTACTTCATTACACTCCCATTCATAATGTTTGTTATGTAACAACGAAACTTTTCTTGTAGGTTTACGTCTTAAAAAGGCCGTATGTAGATGAGTTCTTAAGAAAGATGGGGGAGCTTTACGAATGTGTCTTATTCACTGCCAGCCTTGCAAAAGTAAGATCTGAGGATTCTGAATAACTCAGGAATCAGATTTTTTTCACCTTGCATGTGTTTAATATAGTATTATGAATTACTTCTAAAATGAAAGAATAATACATAGAAATGCTTTGTTACCTCTGTACACTGTAGATAGCTTATTTTGCATTATATCTCAAGAGCAAAGAGAGTAAGACTTTGAAGTAAGGTGATCTTACTTTTTGTGTGTGTGTGTGTGTATTTCATAGATTTGATTATTGTCCAGTTGTGTTTCCACAGTAGCATGACTTTCTATTTAATTTTTTTTCACTGTTAAACTTATTATTTTTATCAGTATGTTATATTGAAATCAAAGTACTTTTTTCTAACTATATAAAGAAAGAAAACTAAATGTGGCAAAAAAATATATAAGATCTCTACCTTAAAATAACGCATCACTAGGTCAGAAATATTTTTTTCTGGACAACAGATGTCTTTAAGGAAACACTAAGACACTTTTATTAACATTTTGGTTGGAACTTATAATTTGATAAACTTGCATTTTATTTTCTATATTTTACTGGTTATTAATATATAAACTCACCAAATCATTAAGTTCCTGACTGGTTCTAAAAATTCAGTGTTGGCAAATCTTATTTGGTAGAAAGATGTGAAAGAAAAATTCAGTTTTCTGATTTTTACTTTTAAACAGTACTCAGTTTGTAAATGTACATAATTTAAAATGAAACAAGAAGTTGCTTTTATTGGTTGTTTGCTGGACTGTGGAGTTGAGGTTCTGTGGTTCACATCCTGTTACTGCTAAGAAATAATCACGCTCTTCACTTTGGAGTCATGAGTTTCATTATGAAAGTTGCCATCGAATCCAAGTATTTAGTCTCATAAGAGTAGCCTATCAGTTGGCAGTGGGTGCTTTTGACTAGTTTCCTTCTGTTTAGTCTATCAGTACAAAATTAGGGACAGCTATTACAGATAGTCCTAGTGTAGCTTTATGTGAAATTCAACAGACAAATAACAACAAAAAAATCCTTACTAAGTTATACTAATATCTATGGACCATGAATTTACAAATTTTATAAATGGTTTGTGACTGGAGTTGAAGTCAGTATTTATAGATTCTAATGGCACTTTCAACTAAGGAAATAAATATTTGTTTTTTTATCAGCTATAAAGTTAAGCTAAAATTAACATATAAAATGTTTGGCACCAGAGCATTATTTTTGTGCATATTTTGAAAGTTATATTGCTTGTTATTTCTCTACCTTTATATTTGAAGTAACTTGTAGAAAACCTGTTTTTCTATAGTATGCTGACCCCGTAGCAGACCTGCTAGACAGGTGGGGAGTTTTCCGAGCAAGGTTGTTCCGAGAATCATGTGTCTTCCATAGAAATAACTATGTAAAGGTAAGATATTTCTTTTAAACTGGTATTAAAAATATAAAATACATTATTCTTGTAATTGTAAATGTAATTAGCTAAATTATAAAGTTTTGGAATAAGTTGTTTTTGTATGTATGTGTGTGTTTTGGTTTCTCACATACAACAAAAGAAGTAAGCTATATCTGAATATAAATATTTCAGTCATATGAAAACTAGGCTCTCGTGAAGATAATAGCAGATTAATAAAGGTTATCTGGTAACTGATAAGAGTCTATCAACAATTGACTAGTGTGTAGTTGTGAGTATCAAAATATATTTATCTATTTCTAGAGGAGCATGCATTGGTTCTTTGAAACTTGTGTTCTAAAATTAAAAATAATTTTTAAACATAATCTTTTTATTTAGAGATGTTTTTAAACTACAAAAAATCCAGTTTGTGAGAAGTTCATCTTCTGCTAAACACCATGCTTTAGAAATAACAGAATAACTCAGCAATATGCAAATTTATTTTGAACCTTTGATACACCCGTGGTGAGTACAGTCATAAATTATTAAATTCCAGAAAAATACTTAAGAACAATTTTTTCAGTGTTGTACACAAATGACAGTTATGGGGAAACAGAATTGAGTTATTTGGGTTATAAACAGAATTGAGTTACTTGGGTTATAAACAGAATTGAGTTACTTGGGTTATAAACAGAATTGAGTTACTTGGGTTATAAACAGAATTGAGTTACTTTGTACTTCATATTGAACAAATGCAAATAGCAGATTTATACAAAAAATTATTTATTTTTTTGTAAGGCTTCCATTAAATCATAGTGTGAGATTATAAATTGTAGGCTTGAAACTTATATTTTTTTTCAGAAAGGTAAGATTTAAGTAACTTGGACAAAGAATGCCAACTCTCACAATTTTTAAGTAAAATGGAGAATTAAATTTGTTGGTGTTGGTTCAAGTAAAAGACCACTTTTATTACATTTCTCCCAAAATCCATAATAAGATATTGAGCTTTGAAGGAATGATTATAGTTTTTTTTAATTAATATTATTATCATGGAATTTTATAAAACAAAGAGCTGAATGCTCATTTTATCGTGCTGAATTGTTTTGTTTTTGTGTATTACATACACTATTTGTGCTATTACCTTTCTGGTGGCTCAGTACTAAGCCTGAGATTTTATAACACTAAAAATTAAGGTTCAATCCCTCTGATAGGCACAACTAGGATAGCTTGTTGTGCAGCTTTGCACAAACAAACAAGAATTACATGATTCATGCTTCTTAAAACCAGTACATATTTGGTGAAGATTTGATTAAGCTAGTCACTTTTTAAATAATTTGTCTGTGTGTAGAATGTGCATCAACAAGATATACAAAGAAATAGTTTATATTGCTTTTCTCTGTAATCAAGATACACTCAAATATTTATTTCATCTCTTCTACCTGTTACTTTACTGTTATTTTACATTATCCTGCCATTTTCTTTTAATAAGTGTAGGTACAGAATCACATAAAAAGCTTATCTTGAATTGAGGTGTTAAATTACCTTTGATTTTTGTAGCTCAAATACATGATTTGTTCAACAGTAAACAGAATTTTTTGTGCATGGGTAAAAGAATAATTCCTTCTCAAATAACATAACATTAAAACAGAACTTGTATTCAGATTTCTTTTGTTTTTGCATTAAATATCTCGCTGATTCAAAAAAAGTATTTACTGAAAGTTTGGTATATTGCTTTAATGTTTTATTTAGGTATGTGCACATTGCAGTATTTACTGAGGTAAATATAATTTAGATTGTCTTCTGTCGGTTGATTTTATAAAATTCAGAACCTGATATCAATGAATTGTACAATATACAGATCCTACTGTCACTTAATTTTACAAAGTTCAAATACCTGTATAGTATTTTGAAATTAACTGATTCCCAAAGAGTAACTTAGGTAGTTTTGCTACATAGCAGGTGGCTCAGCAAGAAGTAATACTGAATTGTGCTGAAATTAACTGAGTCAGTGTAAAGAAATAAATAGACTGGACACAAAGTGTGATGCACAGTAAAAACAATTTTTATTCAAACATAAACAAAGTTTGTGTACTTGCATTGTATGCTGGACAGTTGCTTTTAATGGAGTTGTGAAATCAGGTTGGATCTATTCTTTCAAGACTTATTTCCAAGCTGACAGACTCACTCAAGATGATGTTTTAGACTATCTTGGTTGAGATCTTGTACCAAACTTCTAAATTTCATATTAATTAGTTGAATTGGTAAAGTCAGACTTACTTAGAACAACTAATAGTGATACCCATGTGGCTGTTTATTTCCATCCAAACATAAGGGAGGTTGTAACCTTGAGATATTGCTTGACCTACCATTACAGAATAGTGATGTCAACTTTCATATACAAGGTGCAGCTTTACACCCATACCTCTCATGGCCAGACCAGGTGTTATCTGCAAGGGAATGACAAGGACTGAGGAAACCAAAATAAAATCAACTTAACAACATTCTTGACTGTGTGTTATCTAAAAATTGCACATGCCTAGAATAAACAAGAAAATTTGACATTAAAATAAGAAGGTAGAAAATGCATAGTATGCCTGTATGGCACACTTGTATCCATTACTCTTTCAAAGCTCTAAGGCTATCAGTTGATTGTGTAAACTTGAAATTGCCCCCATTCAGTTGGCTGTATAAAGTTTAATTTGTTTATTTTCCCTTTCCTTGCCAGTAGCTGACCGAATGAAATTGCAATAAAAGTTATTGACTTTTATTAAAATTCTAGGTTTTGTTTTATATACAGAATTTACCCCAGTTCTTCTTGTGTTTAAGTTATGTCCCTCTTGAGTGAACATTCGACCAAATTTTAGAAAAATGCATAATATTTAGTATCATTTTGCAATTTAACAGACTCAGTAAGTGAATTTGTTTAATGTCCTATTTTAAACTAGTACTACTTTATCAATAAAATGTTGTCATTTCTAATAGATTCATAAAAAAATAGGCACTTCTTACTAACAGTTTCAAGAGAGAAAAAAATCATTTAGTTCAGATGCTCCTAACCTGTAGTGCACACTCCTCTGGGGACGGGTGCAGTTATTGCAGAAAGTGGGGCACAGGATATCTCGGAGCAGCTTTGAAATAAAGCATTTGGTTGGGAGAACTAAGATTTTAAGGTGACTGATAAATGATAAAATGGAACGATTAATAGGCCTACATGTTTACTCAAGTTTGCACTGAGAAAGGGATAATAATGAGCGACTCTACCAATTAATATATAGTGAAATGTCTTTCGTAGTAGAAGCCCAACCTTCTCATTGAAATTGGTAATTTGAGAAACTCTATGAGCAACTGTAAATTTTTTTAGATTTTTTGTTTGTTTTTTAAAGATAAATAACCTTCTGTTGTGGGAGTTATTAGAAATTAAGCAAAAAATATCACTCAAGTTGGAGGATGTGGGAGGGTGCAAAATTTGTGTGACCCAAGTTCTAAAATACAACCAATTGGATCTGAGAAAATTAAAACAACATAAATACATTCTGTTCCCATTTTTGTGCTTGTCTTATAAAGGTTTATACTTATTACTTATTGACAAATTAATTTGTTAATATAATGAATCTTATTGTTTCTGTTTGATTTTTAGGACCTTGGAAGATTAGGTCGAGATCTTCAGAGGGTTGTTATAGTTGATAATTCTCCAGCTTCTTACTCCTTCCATCCTGAAAATGCTGTAAGTATAAAGTTATTACATAGCTTTCACTACTGCTTTTAATCAATGAGTCATCCAAGTTTAGCTCCCCACTGCATGTCATATAGTGTTCACAAAACTATTAGGACATATGGTGGTTGTTGATCCAAATCCATCAAGTAGTTTAAAAAAAAATATGCATAATACTTTAAGGAAATCTGTGGTGTGACCTGGAAGTCGGATGAAAATATACCAAAGTGTTCTAATTTGTAATTCTTTTCTTTTATTTTAACAAAATTTGGTCAGATTGAAACTAGCAATTTGAAAAAAAAAATATGTAAATTTGTAACATAACTTACTGTAAAAATGACCTTTGATTTTATAAACAGTTGGTCCCTAAGCAATACACAACTTTTTTGATCTTTAGTTTTAATATTTTTATGCACTTAAAATGGAAAAAAATGTCAGAGAGACAGTCAGACATATGGGGAAATTTATAACTACTAATCCACATGGTAATGGTAACTAGAATACAATTTTTTTAGGTAATATTTGGCTATAAACATTTGTTTTATTGTTGAAAGTAGAGGTGTAGTTCTCAACAAATGTAACACGACCAGTTCAATTTCCAACTTTTTGTTCAGAAGGTAGCATAATATTGTTACTGATTTTTATTTTTCTCGTATCAAGGTATCACCTCGCCTTCATTTTGCTCATCAGATTATTTTTGGACTTTTGAACCATGATAAATCAGTAATCATCTTCAAATTTATATTTGCTTTTGTCATTATGCTGTGAATATTTAACAAACATTTTGAGAACACAACAGTTTCTTCCTCGTTAATAAATCTTCAGAAAAATAGTCTTATACCAAACAGTGAATATTTGTTCTATGCCAGAACTGACCAACTGGCTCCCAAGCATTGGGAGGATTCCCAAGTAAAAATTGAAGTTTGTTAAATGAAAAATATCATAATTTATATTACATTTTAAAGAAGTATTACTGTTATATTATTGAACATTCATTCTGTTGTAAGGTCTGACACGTCTTGAATAGTCTGGCATTTGAATAAATTTATGAAATCTATGGTTCTAGATTTTGGTAATTAGCAAATGGCTCACGAATAGTTTACTAAGTGGCAATCCTGTCCTCCACTACAAAAGAATGAGATAGGATAGAAAACAGGTTAATTAACATCTGTATTTGTGATTTCTGTAGTGATAAAGTCAAGTCAGAGAATGATCTGGATGTTTTACATAAGATTTGCATGTTTTAAGAAACAAATTACTGCAAACCAATTTATTTTAATTCTGTTTTAATTATTAAGTCCAATTAAATGTGTGTTTCTACCTTTAAGTGTAAAAAAAAAAGGAAGTAAGATATTATGTTTAAATTTTTAATAATAGATTTTACAGAATGGAATTCTTATCCACACAGTTGATGGCATTGTAATGAGAAAATAACCGGAACTTGAATTTTATTGCAGGTTTTTATTTATTTATTTCGTACCTGTTTATCAGGAACGTTGTGAACAAAAGCATATTTGAAAAAAAAAAAAGTACAATTTTTTACAGTACATTGAAATATCGAGAAAATGTACAATTAGTTAAAAAAATTGATAATATCAAATTTAAAAAGCTGCATTATTTTCATATGTTTCAAACCAACTGGATATAATTTTGTTTTTTCAGTTTTAAAATGTGTAAAAAATTGTTTAATATGTATCAAACTACATTATCATGGTATCATTTTGAATTATTCTAACTTTATTGTTTTGCTTCACTGAAAATTTCTTACATTAATTAACTTTAGAAACTGGTTGCTCCTGTGTGTGTGTGTGTGTAGTTGTCTATCTTTCCACACTTACACATATGTTTTGGTTATATTTTATATACAATTTATTCAGCTGTGGTTACAAGTGTATTTAATTTGATACTAATTAAAAAAATTTTCATCCTTTTTTTTGTGTGCAAGAAATTTCTCTTTTTTTTTGTCATCTTTATTATTCTTTTGGAGGGGTGGGGGTAATAATGATGATAGCATCACTAACAGTGTGACAGTACATTTTTTAATTGGTATGTCTTATCTAGTATAACATGATAACTGTAAAATTAATTTTCTCTAGAAATTATTTTGATATTGATGTTTCTAGCTGTTGTTATAAACCTTAAGTCACACAAAATGCCAGTTTAATGATATGAAGAAGCTGACTAATGCTGACTTCTTCACCAAGCAATTATAGACAAGGAGCATTCCAACATTTTCTAGGACTTTTTAGATATGAAAAGTTATTTGTAACATATTAGTTGAAAGAGAATAATTGCTTAATTTCAAATAATGATTTGTAGTACTTAATATTTTTTTTCTGTAGTGATTTATGTGTATGTAACTTGTTTTTATTCCAGGTGTCAGTGGCGTCTTGGTTCGAGGATAGCACAGACACAGAATTACGAGATCTTATTCCATTCTTTGAAAAACTTAGTAAGAAAGACAGTGTGTATTCTTTGCTGCAAAACTCCAATCATGCAGCCATCCATCCTCTGCCTTCTCACTCGTTGAATGGCCCACACATATTGCCTCCTAATGTGCCTTCTCCTCAGTCACTGTTAAACAACACAAATCAGCCTTCTTAGCATCACTGGTGAATCAGTGACGTTGATGCTATCATATCTTATAGTTGCCAGTGGCTGCTGGTCCATCTAATGGTGCTTTTGGCAACTTTTTCAGGTTAAGGAAAATAGTTTTGGTCATGATGGAATCACAGTATCATATTATTTTGTAGAGAAACTTACTTTGTTAACTTGGTCCTGTACATGTGCCAATTTTTCTTAAGGTAAGTGTGGTAATTATGTGTTGGGTCCACAAGTTTTATAATCACCGTGTGCTAGGATGAATTTATACCATGATTATTATTTTCTATGCCTGATAATAAAGAGCAGCCATGCCATAGGCTACTGTTTACATCATAATTATATGAAAATGCTGAATAAAATAATAATTTTATAATCAAATGTATATTAATAGTAGAAGTGTAGCATGAAAGAACTGGTTCTTGGGGTTTTTATTATTAGTGTTAAGTTTTCAGACCTGTTAACTTTCTTTATGCATCAAGTTGTTATTATTCAGTATGAACAGCTTTCTTTTTAGCATCAGTAAACAATGTCTAGCATTTGTTTCTTGGCCTGTGTGCCAATTGTAAACAAGTTGAATTGGCAGCTTGAAGTCAGCGGGCATTGTTAACATGGGTCTAAATAATATACTGAATATGCATTCATTCATATGTAATTGTTATATATCATTGTTGTTACTGTCTTATTTTACCATGTAAAATCAGTAGTTTGGTCAATAAATTTTGAGACTATCCAAGTAATTTTTGTACCTTAAATTTGATATATGTGTATTTTGCATGTACAAATTGAAGTGTCTTATAATGACAGTTTAATTCAAATAATTAAGAATTCCAACAAAAGGGGTTGGAAAATTGTTTATTGTTAGCTGTTGTTTAAGTTTATTATGAAAAAACTAGTAATACAAAATTGATGAGATTTTTGTATTAAAAAACATATTAGCTGTAGTTTTTGCTGTTGGTTTATTGTTTGATTACTGATATATAAATTCTTTACCCATTTGTCTTTTCATGTTAATGTGAATATTAACACAAAATTCCTCATCTCCTCAAGACTTCAAAAATCACTGCATAATATCTGTAGTATAGTATACTGTACAAAGTTCAAAATCCTATAGCTGAAAAATTAAACCAAGAGACTTCTTTGATAAAGATAATGCTGGTATGTACAAGAAGGAAGAAGATTAAAATAGCTTTAACAGGAGTAAAACTGGTATTTTTTTGATACAGCTATTTTGTGTAAGAAGGCTATAAAGAGATTTTATATCAACATAACAGGTTTTTGTACAATGTATGGTTGCCAAAAGAAACTTCCTGGCTGAAAGCTAAAGAATGGGAATTTGTTATAGAAAGTAGAATATATATATTTATACAGTTTATTCACACATTTTATTAATATGTAGAAAAGGTATTATATATATAAATATGTGTGTTTGAATGTTGTCTGTATTCTGATATTTATAATATGCATACAGGTATCGATAGGTATGAAACCTAATGCTACTTAATGTATATCACCACTAAGTAATACAGGCATGTTCAAATACATTAATAAGTACATGACTTAGCATGGCAATGAGAGTTACAAGTCTAAGCATGCCAATGATAAATAATATTTTTTTCCCACAATTCACAACAGAATTTTGATATTTTGGTACAAAATTTACTTCGGCAGCTCAATTTTTATGAGAAAGTGTTTCAAGTAGAGTAACAATGTAGTAAAACTCTGTGTACTTCTTCCACTCCGCTGGTTTATTTCTTGATGATTGTACTATTGTTTATAGGCAAGGTTAATTATCTTTTTTATTTTGTAAAAAGCTTTGAAAAGTTGACTTTTTTTTTAAATGTTAAGGTCATCTCTTATGTTTCATTTCGTGAAATCTTATTCACTATGTCAAATCATTTTTTATGATTAGCTAAGGTCCCATTTAATGTTAAACAATCAAGTACATGTATATGTAGATTGAGAGGATTGTGAATATATTGTAAAGTAAATGAGAGTGATCTGTGTAACATTCTGTTGTAGCTGTTGCTTCCCAACTCGTGAAGGTATTTACTTCTTTTTTTTATACCGGGTCCGTAATATATTTAGGTTTTGTGTTTGCAGCATACTTATATTCTATATACCAGATATCCAACCTATTTAGGTACTGTCTGTGTACCTAGGATACTATTATTTTGTAAACCAGATAAGGAACCTATATGGGTGCTAATTGTGTGTGCATGTAGGTTATTCACATCCTGTAAACCAGATGCTGTACATTACCTGTTGAGGTCTTACCTCGTGTGTAATGTAGTCAAGTTTTTCTTCAGCTGTAGTAAATATAGTCCCTGTAGCCATAAGTTTGATACTTTGAACATTTATTTATTACAGTTAGGTTCTACAGTTTGTTGTATGAAATATTTAACATATTCTGTAAGAGAAAATGTGCGATATACAGATTCTGTACTCATCTATGTAAAACAATGAAACTCATAACCAGCTGTAAACGATGACAATTCAGATTGGCTGTATTTAGTAAATAGGTGGATGTTGGACAATATCATATATGGAAGTTCTTTAACCAGATCAAAACCTGTAATAATAAACCAACATCTTGGAAGTGAATCACTGTTGGCAATAACCATATCTTTAATAAGCATTATAATATATTCAAGTTATGTAACTGTGTATATGATATATAGTTTTTGTTTTATAACTGGCTATGTAGCATGTTTGATACTCAGCCGTGATAGTATGTATACAGACTTGGTTTCTAGATTCAGTTACTTGGGTATTTAGGCCCTCAATATTGTTAGCACCGTACTTATTCAGTATCTTTGACCAACTATCATAGGTTAGAATCTTTGAGAATGGCATGTTTTTATTTCTTTAAAATAAATTTTAAGCAATACAGAATACTCTTTAAACAAAACAGCATCAGATGAATTTATTTTAAATTGCATGTGATCAGAAGATATCCTCGAGTCATCTCATAATTAGATTTTTAGAATTTTTTTTTAAAGCTGAAGTATGAGATACAATTACAAAGGGAAAAATTGTTACTCCAAAGCAAATTGTTCACTTGGATGTCTGTTTTACTGCTGGGAGAATCAAAATTTTAAAGTAAAATAAGTATCTAGGTTAATAGCTTCAGTTTGTTTTTGTTGGCATTGCAAGATTAAATTCAGTTTTAGCCTTGTAGTTGAATGTAACTTTGAATGATACAGAAACTGTGTAGATATGGAGAAAGAAAGTTGAGGAAAAAATTATGAACATTTTACGCCAGCCTAATGCCATTTTAATTATGTAATGTATTAAGAATTTCCCATAGAGTAAACTGTTTTTAACTTTTCATTTATATTGTTTTGTGCCTTTAAAAAAAATTGATGGGATTTGCCTTATTTAAGTTCTCATCCAGTTAATTGAAAGAAACTTTTGAGGAACTGAATTGTGTATGAAAACACTTTTTACTTAAATTCATTTTATAACTCAATGTTTTTTACAACACTATAATTTTTGTAGGATAGCAGTTGATTTTGACAGTAGATAATAAGTATAAATAGAAAAGTGAGACAAACCTTAATATAAGGTTGTATTCCCCTTTCTAGTTACACTTTTTGGAGTTTTTTACATTCTTTTTAAATGCATTGATTGTCAGCTTAAGAGGTTTAAAATATAAATTACAGTGGTTTTTTTATACCTTTTGCACATAGAATGCATGTCTTTTTATCTTTTATCATGTAAGGAAATTCTTTTGAATTAAAAATAGTTTAGCTGTTATCTTTAATATAAAAAGTAAAAATATGCTACTGTATCTTTGTATTTCAAACATTTTAATGGCATGTTCTTATACTAAAGACCTTTAAAATGTAGTTAAACTTTCTACCCAAGAAGTTGCATACCGGTGGTGATATAGCACTTGTTATTATATGTCATATGCAAGACACTGTTCATTGCAGAGCATAATCCCACTCTTGAAAATATTTGTGTTTATGCATGATATTCAGCAATGATATTTACCCTTTAATAACGAATATGTTTTGATGGAGTAACGAACACCTAGTGCCATACCTAATGATCAGAAATAAAAATGCTGGCATGGCACGTTTCAGACTTGAGGTTGTTCAGTCCAGTTGCAAAGAAAATGAGCACAAACTATGATCCATTGTCTGGATCATGACGTTGCAGAGCCCTGTCTTGTGGAAGTCATCTTGGATAATCATTCAATGGTACAAAATGTTTTGAAATATAGTATTAAGTTTAAGCAGTGTACAGTGATTTGTTAAGTTTAAGCTGTGCTGGGAAATGAGCGTTGTTGTCAAGCTAGCCTGAGTATAATTTTTATAATATAATCTGCATTTTTTACCTTATCATAATTTAAAAACTGTTGTTTGAAAATAGTCCTTCTTTATTAATAGATGTATAAAAATTATATATAGATTTTTTTTTCAAGTAATAAAAAATGTTAACAATTTCTACAAGTTTTGGCTTGTAGGAAGGATTTTTTTAGCATAATACATGTATTAAGCTGAACATAAAGATTTATTTGTTTGGGAAAATCTTTGATTTGTATAAATCAGTTTTATCTGCATATGCTTGATTTACAGATTTTTTTAATGTCAAAATTATTTTTTTACAAAACGGAATTTCTATTGAAGATCAGTGTTAACTTTTCATCTTAAAAATATAAGATTGTGATGCTATAAAAAAATGTATCTCAAGAAAATGTACAATAGTCTTCCTACAATTCTTCATGAATTAAAGTATTTAAATGAGAAAATTAGTTGTATAGTGTGTATTATTTTCTTTCTTACGTCAGCCATGTTTGTTCTGACACAAGGTACCACATTACACCAAATCTGAACAACTATGACAGACGTATAAAAACAAATACGTTAGTATATTCACCTTGCCTGTTACAACAAGGTAAATTCTCCTAAAATACACAGGAAAATGTATATTGAACATTACACGTTACCGATACGTTAGTGTCGTTTCCTTGTATATTTTATCTTTATTTAATAAATCAGCACAGTTATAATTTCCATATCACCATGGTCATTTAGAAATATTTACGACAGCATAAATATTTTGACGAATAGAGTGAAAAAAATTAAATATTTTGACGAATAGAGTGAAAAACATTTAAATATTTTGACGAATAGAGTGAAAAACAATTTAAAATTATTTACTTTCTTCTCTCTGCCTTAATTGAGTTGTTTCTGAAGTCCAGAGATAACCCGTTTTCTCGCGGAATAGCCTCATTTTTTGCCTGAAGCTTATTTTATGTTGATAAATACGAGTACTGAATTTGTACTGTTGTAACGTATATTATCGTTGGACGAGTTGTTTTTGAATTAGTTTTCAAAATAATACTAGATCCTGTTCACGTAACGATAACGAATTAATTTAATTATTCTATAAATATATACTACAGAGTATGTTCACTTTTGCACAAGTAGTAGGCTTAAATTCACAAACACCTTTCCCAGTTTCAACAGAAACTGTGATACTAACATTATCTACGTCTAGCTGACAGGTACAAAACTTGCATAACTTTCTTGCTAATTGATCTATAGACGCGATAATTCTCACTGTCGGATACTTAATACATATTACTCGTATTTATAATATACCTTAACATTCACGAACATAATGAGTATCGTATCAAAATCATCATGACTAACAGCTATTTCTAGCAAAAAATTAAATTATAACATTGAAAATATAGTTTCGAACGTTCAGGGGCAAGTAGTAAGCCGTACATAAGTTTTCTAAGGTTAGATACCTATGCTTAATAAATTTAACTTTGTTTACGCCACCAGTGGTACAGCGGCATGTCCGCGGACTTACAACGTTAGAAACCGGGTTTCGATACCCGTGGTGGGCATAGCACAGATACCCCATTGTGTAGCTTTGTGCTTAACTTCAAACAGCATTGTTTACCGGATGTATTAAACTCTGTCGGAGTAATCGCAACAATCTCGAGCTACAAGTAGACAAACCAGTTGTGATTATTTTTGCGTGCCCTCTAGTAGGTTAAAACTAGAACATTTTATAATGCGTTAAAGAAACCTTTTTCACTAAGTCGAATGGTTGTACTTTTTTTTTGTTCAATTTCAAATGTCACCAAAATATTTAAGAAGCAAAACTTGTATCATAGTAGCCCTTTAGTGGCGCAGCGGCATGTCTGCGGACTTACAACACTACAAACTGGGTTTCGATACCTGTGGTCAGATTCATCATAGTAAATTGGTAAAAGTGAAACGTAGAAGCCTGTAAACTATTGTCATCAAAGTATAAACTTTTTGCCATTAGATATGGGTAGGTACATTATCAAAGTAGTTTACCGTGATAGATTTTTTGGAATGTATCTGAATTATTAATATTGTCCATGTTTCTTTTTTATAAAGGGCCTGGTAGTTAGGGAGCTCAACTCGCACTCTACTTGTCGCGGGATCGAAACCCGGCGCTGAACATGCCCTATCAGCTATGGGGGATCAAAATATGACAGTTCCACTATTAATCAATAAAGAGTATCTTAAGAGTTGGCGGTGGGTGGTGTTGGCTAGCTGCCTTCCCTTTAGTCTTATCACTTCAAAATTAAGGACGGCTAGCGTAGATAGTTCTCAAGTAGCTTTACGCGAAATTCAGCAAAGAAATAAAGATTAATTTGTAAAAAATCAGATTCAGTCACAAACGATGTGGATACGGGTTGGCCCTATATTAGATGTCCGGATCCAGAACTAGACGCAAAACCAAAAACTTATTCGACTTACTTTTAAGCTGTGGGTGCGTTATAAGAGCCACAGTCAATCCCTAAACGTGGATGGTGGATGTTAGGATGCTTCTGACTGGCTAACTTAGTAGTTAGTAGTTCAAAATTAGGGACGGCGGCAGATAACCTTAGTAGCTTTGTCATAAATACAGGTACATAAAGGATACAATTCCAAGATATTTCAGGAAATTGAACAGCTCTATAAAAGCAAAACATAATGCATCAACATACATCCACAAAAAGTGATAATTCTTCATCTTCAAACCTTTCAAGTGTTTTTTTATAAAAAGTATTGGTTTGAACTAAAAGAGAGAAGGTACTGTTAGATTTAGGTAAATTTTTTGTCGAAGTAAAACAGGTAAATGAAACAAATCACGTGCTACAGGCTTGTTCATTTGTGTAACATCACAGGGGACCACAGACTGAAATTTGTGCTAAAATATACTTTCATTATTGAAGTTAAATTGTAAATGTTACAGTTGTGGCCTATTGGTTTATGTAATGGACTTTGAATCCGAGGGTTTCCTGTTCGATTTCTATGCCCCAAGATCATATTCCACCTTTAGGGCCACAGGTGTGTTATAAGAGGGATGGACAAACCCTGCTACTTGATTAGAGCAGCCTAAAAGTTGGCGGTGAGTGCTAATTATCAAGTCTCTTCCTTATAGTTTATTAGTTCAATGGTTAGGGATGAATTACGCAAATAGCTCTTGTGTGAATATTCGCAACAAACAAATGTTATAATTCATTTAGAGTAGTTTGATCATTTAATTTTATAATATTATAAAAAAAAAGAAATTTTCTGTTTTGATCACTTAAAATTGTAAATTGTTTTTTTCATAAATTTTTATAGTGACCACTAGATGGCAAATAACTTTAAAAATATAGAAGTCGGCTTTTTCTTTTAAGACGTAATGCATACCTCGGGGGGGGGGGCACAATTTCCTGATATATATTGCTGATTTCTGCGGAACTTTAACTGCAGAATTTAAACACTGAAATAGGGCATTTAGTACTAAAGTAGAACAGCGAAAAATATTTTCAAGGGTATTTCTATTTTCTTTTAGGCATAAATACTTGAAATTTTATGATCGTTTGAAAATTGCAATTTCGGCTACATTTTCCAGAAAAGTGCACTCTTTTCCAGGTAGTTTTTCTCTATTTTCCAGTTCTTTTGCTTTTTATTTCTTTCTTTCATGAAAATAAGTGACAGTACATGCATATAAATGACAATTCTTTTAAGATTTTTTGTTTTTGGTATGAATACTTGTGTTGACCTTCGAACATGTACAGAATTCATAATGAAACACCTCCTTGATGTCTTCCTTCAGCTGTTTTTCTGTTTTATTTCGCTGTTCTTGCTTTTTAATTTATTCTCATCAGGAAACTCTCTGATGGTGTTTACCTTCTTTATCATCTCATACCTTTTTATGACCACTGCATAGCATGCCTTTGGTGCAATATTTTCATTTGCATCAAAAATATCATTGATGAAATTTGAAAGCACGTCTGGAAAACGAATTTAGCTTCGTTACGTTATGAGAGAATCAATGCAAAAAAAGTTTAGCCAATTGTCTTTTTTTTTCCGAATTAAATAGCTCCGTGGGACTGAGAACAAATTTGTACCCCGGAGGTATGCATTACGTGTTAACATGTTTATGGAAAATTAGTATATAGCTTTTGTGCTCCTTCTCAAAATCTTAGGTTAATTTTTTACCCTTTCAGCACGGGCTCGGTCCGTTGGGCCGATCTCGTAACCATTTTGTACATGTTATAGTTTTCATACTATAGCTTTCAAATTAGTAAGCGAATGTTAACGAAATTTGGCAGATTTTCAGTTAACATTACAATACTTTCATACGCAAAATATCAATTTCTTTATTAATTCTTAAGGTTTGTTAAGCAATGTTTTTCCTCATACTTTTTTTTTCTTTTTACATGTTACCTATCCAAGATGCAAAGTATTTTCATTCTTCTTCTTCTGTAGCTTTCCCCGTATCTATACGGGGTCGCTATTTTTGACAGCACGTTTCCACTCTCCTCGGTCTTCGTATTCGTCCCCAACAAGGCCTTTCTCTCTAATATCTCCATCCACGCAATCCTTCCATCTTCTCCTTGGTTCTCCTCTCTTCCTTCTCCCCTCCACCTCCATATCCAAAACCCTCTTGCCTATATAATCATCTTCCCTCCTCATCACGTGCCCTTACCACTGCAATATTCTCT